TCTGTGCTGACAGCTCAGAGCCTGGAGTCTGCTACAGATTCTGTCTCCCTCTCTCTCTGCCCGCCCCCCCAACTCACACTCTGTCTCTCTCTCCTTCAAAAATAAATAAACATTTAAAAAAAGTTTAAAACAATTTTATTAAAATTTATTTTTAAAATTATTTAAAAACTGGAATAAGGCAGGTTGACATTTCTCTGATTTCTGAATAAAAAAGGGTTTTCTGAACATATTGGCAATGCATGATACGTGTAAAGTAAAACAATGACAAATTTGACTTAATAAAAACTTTTGAACCCCAGAAATCACAAGTGAAGTTAAAAACCAAAAATGTAGAAAAAGTTTCCCATAATAAAGAACAATAGATAAATCTGCTTCATCTAGAAAGAGCTTGTGCAGACAGAACACACTTAAGACACCAAAAGAAATGGACAAAGCCCTTTAATGATTTATAAAAGAGATGCAAGTGGCTGATTACCAGAGAAACTGAACATTTCTGTATTATTTAAGAAATGCAAGTTGGGGGGTGCCGGGGTGGCTCAGTCGGTTAAGCGTCCGACTTTGGCTCAGGTCATGTTCTCACGGCCCGTGAGTTTGAGCCCTGTGTAGGGCTCTGTGCTGACAGCTCGGAGCCCGGAGCCTGCTTTGGATTCTGTGTCTGCCTCTCTCTCTGACCCTCCCCTGCTCATGCTGTGTCTCTCTCTGTCTCAGAAATAAACATTAAAAAAAATTAAAAAAAAAAATAAATGCAAGTTGGAGTAAAAATACCTTATTTTAGCTTTATTGCAGTGCAACACATACAGAAAAGACCACAAATCATGATTATGCAGCTTAATGAACTACGAGAAGGTGAATGCATCTGATTTGCCAGCGCCCAGGCCAAGAAATGTAGAACATTACTAGCACACCCAAATCCCCTCACATGCCTCCTCTCGATCACTGTTCCTTTGTTCCTTCCCAAAGATAACTGTTCTCCTGATTTTTAGCAGGAAAGATTAATGTGCCATTTTTGTACTTTATAATAAATGGAATCATACAATATTCTCTATCTGGCTTATTTTCATGTTTATTTATTTTTGAGAGAGAGAGAGAATGAGCAGGGGAGGGGCAGAGAGCAATGGAGACACAATCTGCAGCATGCTCCAGGCTCCAAGCTGTCAGCACAGAGCCCGGTGCGGGGCTCGAACCCATGAACTGTGACATTATAATCTGAGCCAAAGTCAGACTCTCAACTGACTGAGCTACCCAGGCACCCCTCTATCTGGCTTATTTTCAACCATGTGAGAGTCATTCATGTTGTTGCATATAGCTATAATCTGTTGATTTCCATTGCTGTATATTATCCCATTGTATGAATATACTCCATTTTATCCATTTTACTGCTCAGATGCACATTTGAGTTGTTTTTATTTTATTGTGAATAATGTTGCCATTAACGTGTGCAGATATTTCTGATGTACTTGGAGTAGAACTTCTGGGTTGTATGCTATGTATATGTTTAACCTTAGGGGATAATGTTAAACATGTTTTCCAGAGTGATTGTACCAAATAATATTTCCACTATCCATTTATAAGATCACATTGCTCACCTCACCAACACTTAGTATTGTTAGCCGTTCTGGTAAGTGGGTTGTAGTATCTTACTGTTGCTTTATTTGTATTTCACTAACTACTAATACCTTTTCTTTAAATTACCGTTTTTCACTTCTAAATTATTAGAGGTGGTAATATAAATCGAAATATTTAATGCTAATCAGAGCTGGAGAGAGTCTTCAGGATATTCATACACTGCTGGGAGAGAATAAATTAGTATAGCCTTTCTGGAAATCAGCTTAACAAACTATATTTAAAACCTGAAAATGGTTTATAATTCAGACCAAATAATTTTGTTTTTAAAAATCATGAATGCACAAAGATTATCAATCACAACTTTATCGCAGTGAAAATTCTGCAGTAAAAATTTGGAATCTTTGTATCCATCTGTGTATCCTAAAATGAAAGAATCATTGAGTAGCATTTAGTGCATTCTCACTATACAACAGTATACATCTATCAAAAGTGACTGTTTACAAAGACTTTTTAACAACACGGGGAAATGTTTGTGATGTAATTTTTATGTGAAAAACATTAAAAATATTTTAAATAGAAGATGGTCTTAGTGGTACAGAAAAAAAGATTGAAATAAAATACCACCAAGATACTAGTAATAGTTGCTTCTGTGTGTGATAAGATTAAAGATCCTTACCCTCACCTTTAAAAATTTTTTTATTGAAGGTCCCCTGGGTGGCTCAGTTGGTTAAGTGTCTGACTTTGGCTCAGGTCATGATCTCACAGTTCATGACTTTGAGCCCCGTGTTGGGCTCTGTGCTGACACCTCGGAGCCTGGAAGTTTCTTCAAGTTCTGTTTCTCTCTCTCTCCGCCCCCACCCCCTTCTCCCGCTCGTGCACGCTCGCTCTCTCTCACAAAAATAAACCTTAAAATTTTTTTCTAATTTTTTTTATTGAGATAAAATTCACATAAATATAATTCACCCTTTTAACTGTTTTCAAAAGTATACAATTTAGTGATGTTTAATATAGTCACAGTGCTATACAACCATCACCACTATCCTATTCTGTTGTCTCAAGCCTAATCTAACATTAACATCACTCCAGAAAGAGACTGCAGTTGACCCTTGAAAAATACGCATTTGAACTTTGCAGGTCCACTTATGCATGGATTATTTTTTGGTACAGTACTGTAAATGTATTTTCTCTTTATGATTTTTTTAACATTTTTTTCTCTAGGATACTTTATTGTAAGAATACGCTATATAAAACACATAACACAAAATAAGTGTTAATCAACTGTTTGTTATCGGTAAGGCTTCAGGTCAACAGTAGGCTGTTGGTAATTAAGTTTTGGGGGAGTCAAAAGTTACACATGGATTTTCAAGTGCATGGGGCATCAGGGCCCCTAAACCCCCATGTTGTTTAAGGGTCAGCTGTACTTTTGAATTTCTCCTTTCACCCAGCCCTTAGCAACCACTAATCTACTTTTCTGTCACTGTGAATTTGCCTATTCTGGATATGGCATATAAATGAGGTCATATAATATGTGATCTTTTTTGTCTTTTATTTTTTCAGCATACTGTTTTTGAGGCTCATCCACGCAATATCATATGTCAGTACTTCATTCTTTTGTATGGCAGAATAATATTCCTTTGGATATGCTACATTTTGTCCATTTATCAGTTAATGGACAGTGGGGTTGTTACTACTTTCTGGCTATTGTGAATAATGCTGCTTATGAACATTTGTGAGTTTTTGTATGGATGTGTTTTTATTTCTCTTGGGTACATGCTAGGAGTGGAATTGCTTAATATATGGAATTTCTACATTTAACTTTTTTAGGAACTGCCAAACTGTTATCCATAGTGGCTATACTAGTTTACATTCTCACCAGCTCCTCCCTTGTTTGAAAATTATTTTTTGGAGCACCTGGGTGGCTCAGTCAGTTAAGCAGCTGACTTCAGCTCAGGTCATGATCTCACTGTTCATGGGTTCAAGCCCTGCATCGGGCTCTGTGCTGGCAGCTCTCAGCCTGGAGCCTGCTTCAGATTCTGTGTCTCCCTCTCTCTCTGCCCCTCCCTGCTTGCTCTGTTTCCCTTTCTCAAAAATAATAAACATTAAAAAAAATTTTTTAATAAAAAATAAAAAAATAAAAATTATTTTTCATCTTTCTGAGTTTCTTAGTAAGGCCTTTTTAGTCCACTTTTTTTTTCTCTTCATGTTTGATCTTCATACCCATCCCTTCATCCCTACTGTTGATCCTTACTTGAATGTTTGTTATATGTCTTCAGATATTTGTTTATTGGGTGCTCCTTCATGTCTGTGAATATTTAAAATATACAAAATGATACTGTGCTACATGGTTCCTTGTTTCTGACTCTTGAGTGGAATTCTCTGGGTCGTCAACCATAGCTTTACTAGTTTCTCTATTGGTGGATGCCTATTCTTCTGATTTATTACTATAGAGAAAGTTGCTATGAGTATCCTAGTTACATGTCTTTCACTGAACCTGTACAGAATTTTCTTGTGGTTTATTCCTACAACTGGAAATTATGGGCCCTACACAGTTTAACCAATATTGCCAAATTCCTTTTCAGAAAAGTTTCCTCATTTTACTTTCTTACTAGCAATGCATGAGGGTGTCTCTTTCCCTATATCCCTATCAGCTTTTGATATTATCTGTCTTTCTAATCTTTGCCCATTAACGGACATAAAATGGTACCTCATTTGTTGTTTGACTTTGGATTTCTTTGATTATTAGTTAAGCTAGACATCTTTCTTACCATTTGGGGTTTTTCTTTATGAACTGCCTGTTTTTATCTTTGATCATTTGTCAGGTGGATTCCCTATATTTAAAAAATTAATCAGCTTGTTACTTTTATAATAGTAGTGATGGATTGTATTGGCATTCATACTGTAAATGCTATTACAGTTATTTTATTTTCATTTTAAAAGGGAGAAAAGCTATAGAGATGCTTTTAAAGTTATAATAGAGTTAATTTTTGTTTTTAGTCCAGATGTCAGAGCATTCCTTCAAATGGACAGCCCAAAACATCAGTCAGATCCATCCGAAGATGAGGATGAAAGAAGCACTCAGAAGGTAGTAAGAGGGATTGTGTTTTTTAACAGAAAAAATACCATTCCCCAAAGATGAAATTACTGGCAACTTGAGGGCAACATTTACTTAAAATGATGTAATCTCATCCATTGTAAATTTTCTACCCTGTAGAATACAAAAAACAAATGTGTACACCTCTTATTATTTCTTATAAAATTTATAAAATGAGTACTTTTATGATAAAAAGTAATCCATGGTAGTATTTAGTAGAAAGTTTTGAAAATAGTAAGAAGTATTTATCACTAACCAGACTAGTAATTTTTAACATTTTAGTGGTTTTCCAACTAATCTTCTCTTAATATATAGGGATTTTTTTAGTTACCTAATTTTAATTATACAGTATATACAATTTTATATGCTATTGTCTTCACTTTACATCTTAATTTTTGATCATTATATGTCTTCATAATCATTAACATACTTAAACTATTGTTTTGAATTTTGACCAGCAGGAAAGGCCTTTTTAATCAGAATGTTAATTTAATACTTCTTCCTCTTCATTGCCGGGTTTTTATATGCAGAACAATCAATATGCATATGCCAGTTGGCATCAACTAAGTTTTATTCCTGTAGGTACATGCACATAATCAGTATGTGTTCCAAATAAAGAGTAGGGTATTCTTATTTTTTTTAAACCAGTTGTGATAACCAATAAATAAATATAATAAGCTCTGGCTTATTATAATGATGTTTTCAGCATTTACTTTAGAAAGTTACGTGGGAAAGGTAAATTATAGTAATTTAACCCAGAGAATTATTATTTAGCAATTAAAATTGATGAAAGCTATATATATTTGCTAAATATATACATGAAAGTCAGAGATGTTGCCTTAAAGTACATTTTTTGTCTTTATAATGTTGTGTTTTTTCATGGTTCTGTTTCTGTGTTTTAAAAGATAGTATCGCTCGGAACATTACTGTCCCATAGCTAAAATCTTCATTTGGAAAATAGTCCTATTCCTTTTTTGCAACTCCTGTAAAGTAGTAATTTTACTTCTCTGATACCACTGGAGGCTTTTCAAGTTAAGAGAGCTGATTTATGTTTTCCATTTGTGACATGGTTGATCCCAGGACAACATAAAAGGATATTTTAATTTTATATCTGAAACTTGTCAAAAGAGAAACAACAAACTGGGAGAGCATTTGTAATAAGGCCTAAGAAGGGAAAACATTTATGTAAAAATATATAGATGGATTTTTGAAAAGAATGATATTTAAAGCCCTGTAGATAAAAAGCAAAGGGACATGAAGAAATACTGTTCGTAAACAGACATATGGGAAATGATCAACCTCAATGCCAACAGCAAGTGAAATTTTTAAAATAGAGATTTTTTTTCTCTCTACCAAATTAACAAAAATGTAAATAAAATACTTCAGGACTGATAAGGGTAAGGCACAGCAGGCATCCCTGCCTGGGCTTTCCTGGCACCGCTTTAATTTGGCAGTTTGGCAGTGTGTATCAAACATGAAAATATTCAGGTCATTTAGGAGTTGACGCAAATGAAATAATCCTTCACGCAGAAACAAACAAAGGTAATCATTTTAGTACGAAAAGTTAGAATCAATGTAAATATAAACCAATTCAATAATTTGTCCCCATATATTGTACATTAAAAAAATTTTTTTTACGATTCCAGTCAGTTTTTCAAAGCTACGCAAAGACTATGTGAAATTACTGCAATATTTGCAAAATCATCTGTTAATAAGGTTATGGATTTTTTAAAAGCACCTTCCTGGTGTTTTCCATATTTTGTAACCATGTATATATATTTTTAATGCAAAAATGAAATATTAAAGACATTTTAAAGAAAATGTATATAATCCTGATTTTCCATGTTTTACTTGCTAATCATGTTGAGAGTATGTAGGTTTGGGTTATTTGAAAAATATCTTGCCTTGCTATAGGAGACAGCTGGCTTTGAAGAAAGAACCAAATGGAGAGAGCTTCCTGAGTTCTGATTCCTGTCTCTACTACTTTTGACCTTAGATCTGAATTCTATTTCCTTTCTCTTTTTTCATCCATAAAATCTGTAATTGGACTAGAATCTCTTGCAGTTTTAAAATACAGATAAAAAGAATCTGTTCAGAAAAGGGAAGAAGCTGTACTTTGTCTTACAGCTATAGCTATTTATTAAGGACTTCTAAGTGGATAACTAAATTAATAGCCAGAAAATATCTTCGAGGACATCAGGACCTTTCCCCTTACTTAGAGAAAAATAGAGTCCAAGAAACATGCTTTTGTTTAATTATCATTAATTATTAATGATAATTATGCTGTTAATAAACTATAACACATCCTCAGTTTAGTGATTAACTGTAATCTTTAAAAATAGTAGGGGGGCGCCTGGGTGGCGCAGTCGGTTAAGCGTCCGACTTCAGCCAGGTCACGATCTCACGGTCCGTGAGTTTGAGCCCTGCGTCAGGCTCTGGGCTGATGGCTCAGAGCCTGGAGCCTGTTTCCGATTCTGTGTCTCCCTCTCTCTCTGCCCCTCCCCCGTTCATGCTCTGTCTCTGTCTGTCCCAAAAATAAATAAACGTTGAAAAAAAATAAAATAAAATAAAAAATAAAAATAGTAGGTAGTAGGGTACCTCAGTTCAGCAACCGACTCTTGATTTTGGCTCAGGTCATCATCTCACGGGTTCCTGAAATAGGGTACTGCTGATAGCTCAGAGCCTGTTTGGGATTCTCTTTCTCTATCCTCCCCCATGCACATGTGTTCACCCTTGCTCAAAATAAATAAATAAAACTTTTTTTTAAAAGGTCTTAAAAATAGTAGGTAAAAAATTAATTATGTTTCCCAATAATTTTCATTATTATTTTGGAAATATGCTCTGTTAGGAAAATCATTGCTATGTAATGAAATCTTTTTATGTATCAGTGTTAATTCAGGGCACAAGTTGCCCTTGTTTAATCCATGCTTACTGCCTCCTCTTCCCTCACCTATATAATATATAAAGAAAGTTAATTGAATGGAAAAGTGATCCAGTTTTCTGCACATTCATTCAAAGAATAAGTGTATTGAAATTGTAATTTAGTTTGGATTATGTTATCAGATTCTAGGAAACACTATAATATATAAACAGAAAAGATTACTCCATGTTAAAATTTTGACATAATAGGATCTCGTTTCATGAACCAGATTTTTTACACATTTTTTTTTTTTTTTTTTTTTTTTTTTTTTTTTTTTTTTTTTTTTTTTTTTTTTTTTTTTTTTTTGGTCTTGTGCTAGATTGTATGGTTCTCTAAATTTCTGTCTTCTGGGGACTGAAAATGTAGTGCTTGAAAATTTTTCATGTAAAGATATTGGTAGAAAATAAATTTGTTTTGTAAGTAGGAAACTGGTGTCAATATTGTTATTTTTATAAGAAACGTATCATTATGCTTAGGAAATTTTGCCCTACATTTTTCATTTTTTTTAAATTTATTTTGAGATAGAAAGGGCATGTGCATGAGTGGCGGAGGGACAGAGAGAGGAAGAGAGAGAATCCCAAGCAGGCTCCACACTGTCAGTGCAGAGCCCAGTGTGTCCTCGATCTCACAAACTGTGAGATCATGACCTGTGCTGAAATCAAGAGTTGGATGCTTAACTGACTCAGCCACCCAGGCGCCCCTTTGCCCTTATTTTTAAAAGTAGTTTGCATTGTGGAGATTTTCTATAATTTTCAAATGAATTTAAGTGGAAATATATATGATCTATATCACTAATAATAAATTGCTTAGATAAAATTTTTTAGTTCTGATGAGCTTAAAGAGAAAAGTTTTTACAGCTTATTTTGTATCTATAACGTATGGAAGTATAATTATATAATAAGGCTCTAGTAAAAGTATGCATATTTGGAATATCTGCAGCTTTGTGATTGTATGTATAAAGAATTTCAAAGGGAATTTATGTGAAGCAGAATTCACTTACACCTGGCTGTATAAAAAGTGCTCTCACTAACAAGATCACTAGATTAATTTTATGGGATTTGGGGATAAATTTCTAGCTAATTATTAGTGAACTAGAATCTTTTTTTAGTTAAATTGCTTTATAGCATAGTAGGTAAGTAAAGATTTGGTTCTAAATTAATACTAGGGATTAAATTTATGTTAATTATTGTAAAGAGAAAAGACTATCTAAAATTTTTGTTAGACCACAGTGGTGGAATTAGAAAAACACTCCTGTCTGTGTGTATTTGCTTTAGAAATAAGTCTGTCTCCTATAATTCAGTCCAGCATCTGCAGTCTTCATCATCATCATAGTATCATTTCCATGTCATAAAATTAATGAGCAGTTATTTGAAAATTTGAAACATAGGTAGCCATTTTAACCAGTTTTTAAACGTAGAAATGGTCCCTTGTAAATTGTGGTTTCTACACCCACCTCATCCAAGGAGCTTTCCCCAGTTTACTTCATTCATTTGACAACTTTGAGCTTCATTCCTGTGTTATTTTTTTCCTTACAACTGCTCTTGCAATTTGTCATAAAAATGTGTGTTTATATTGGTTGTGTGTTTCCAAATAAGTTTATGCATTTAATAAGAATTAGGACTTCAGTTTTCTTTAACATGGCGATGCATCAATATCTATGGGAGAGTTATATACATTTTATTTCAGAACCATTTATTTTATTGACTGATAATCTTTGAAGTGTTATTAACAGTGTTACTGTTTTTTCCTCCATCTCGATAGCTACACTCTACCTCACAGAACATCAACCTGGGACCATCTGGAAATCCTCAGTAAGTTTAATTTGTTTCAAAAATCCTCTAACTGAATTCTAGGAAGACCTGTCTTGTGAATGTGCAGATATACATAATTATATCAGTTTAACTAGAACCCAATAAAATACAATAACCATAGTTATGGTGAATATAATGCTATCATATGCTTTGCTTATCTGTTTTACTGTTCTAGCTTTCCATTGCTGTAACAGAGTTCTGAGGATTTTGTAAATCCACAGATTATTAATTTGGTTCTGCTGTTTTGCCATTGTCATTTTTCTGGTGTGTGTGTGTGTGTGTGTGTGTGTGTGTAAAATCAGAAGACTGTATTTCTCAGGGGATCTTAAGTCGTCCTGGGAGGGACTTGGAGGGGCTCTGACAGAAGTATCCATGCAGGTCTAACACATATTCTCACTGGTGCTCAGTGTTTATTGGTGCAGCCCTGGTTGTCAGCCAGCTTGTTCCAGAGGAGTCATGATGGACATTACCATAGTAAAGTCTATTGAACTTGTTCTAACCAGTTTCTCCCACAGTGCCATATTTTTTTGAGCACGGGGAAAACATTTTGAGGAACACCAGGAATGGCAAATGTAGATTTGAGTATTAGATCTTGATTTTGAGTACCAACTCCAGCAGTTCATTAGAAGTGAATGCCTAGATTGCTGAATACATAGGATTCCAGGGCCACTTCTTGGCTCAGTTTGAGGAGTGCCCTGACAGATTAATGATACCTGCCATGGTTTGGAGAAAGAGTATAATGTTTCTATCCTTACTTGTAATTATTCTTCAGTTTCATTGGATTAATTCTGAAGTAGTGTAGCTTTTCTCCCAAGACATTATGCTTCCCTCACTATTTTGGTCCTCTGAGAGAGTGAGTAAAGACAGATAAAAAGTGGCCCAAGGATTGGGTCCTGAGAGACATCAGCATTGTAGTAAGGTCAGGGAGGAACCAGTAAAGGAGAAAAAAAAAAGTTAGTAAAATAGGAGAAAAACTGGAAATGTGATGTCTCAAAAGCAGGTGAAGAAAGTGTGTCAAGGGGGGAGTAATTAACTATGTTAATGTTTCTGGTAAAGCAGGTAAGTGTTGAGAATTGACCATTGGGTTTGATAAATCATTGGCGACCTTTGTAAGCTGTTTCAGTGGTGTAATGGGTACAGACCCTGATAGGAAAGAGTTCAGGAGAGGACAGTGGGAATAGACAATGAATTTAAACCTCTTACTTGAAGAATTTTACTGCAAAGGAAAGCAAAGAATTGGAGTGGTAGCTGGAAGGGAGGTTTAGTTTTGAGCATGCTTTCCTGTCATCATACACTGAGTTGTTCAGGCAGCACAGAAACAAACTCGCTTTCAGCTAGGGTTCATCACCAATAGTTAACAGTGGTGCCTTGGGTACGGCCTCAGTTAGCCTATTTACTATGTTTGAAAAATTTGCTTGATTTTTTGCTATTTGTTTAAAAAAATTATTTCAGTATCTCAACATATCACTAAAGAACAAAATAGTCCAAAGAGCAGATTCTTGAAGAAGAAAAACACCTCAGCTTAGTTAAGTATTTATTTCCCTAATCTTTACCTGTTATTATTTAACCTAGGCCTGGTGCTATTCTAATGTTTGAATTGGCCATTTATTTTGATAGTAAATTAAAGGAAATTTAAACTCTAAATGGAGTCATTATCTTCTCCTGAGTCCAATTTAAGATTCAGACCGTGTTGAAGGAAACCTCTTTCCTGGCTGCTTACGCTCTGCTTTCTTTTGCCATGTGCTTTTGTCTACCTGTAACCAATATTGTTTTTATCTGACAAGTTAATGTAAATAAAAGGACAAAATTAGTATTCTCCTTGATCTCTGTACTCCTGGATTTTCTGCATTGCCATCTATGAGAATAAGCGGAGAGGTCTTTTATCTGTAATGTATGGTAAGTGATATATGTGCAAAATCTGTATGTGTCAGAAAAATTGCCAAACTAGATAGTCCTTGGAATAAATTACTAATTTATATAGTTATTCAGTTTCCTCATTAACAACACTGGTGAGGTTTATGGTTAACTAAATTGGTTTAAAGAGAAGCTACATTGAGTTCAAACAATATATAGATATAGATAAATGCTTTTCTCACAAAAAGACCATTATGGTAGTCTTTCTTAAGCAGAACTTAACAAGGCATTAAGAAGGTTATAAAATGTCTTATCAGAAAGTAGATATTACTTCTATTCATTATTACCTATTTTATATTCAAGATGAGGTATATTACCAGTGTGAAAGCTGGAGTCATCATGCTAGAATGTTGTGCCCAGCATTTACTTATTAAAGAGTGAGGTACTAAGAAATGTTTAAAAGTTAACATCTTTCCAGTTTCTAGGAGGCTAATTTTTGTCATTGTTCATTTATTTCAGTGCTAAACCAACAGACTTTGATTTCTTAAAAGTTATTGGAAAAGGCAGCTTTGGCAAGGTAAGAGTTTTTATTTTTCCATACAATAAATAAATACTTAAGGAATGCATGCGTTATATATTCCATGCCACGGTGCTTGTTGGTATGCAGGATATGGAGTTATGATGTTTTCCCTACCTTCAAAGTACTTAAGGAGATAAGACATCTACTCAAATTTTAACATAAAATTCATTTGTTCAACAAATATTTATTGAGTACCTATGATGTGCCAAGCACCATACTGGCTTTTGGTTAGATAGTACTGAACAAAACTGACATAGTCACTACCTTTGTGATGCTTAGAACCTAGTAGAAGTAACCAATTAAAAATATGCAGTCAGGGCACCTGGGTGGCTGAGTCGGTTAAGTGTCCAACTCTCTTGGTTTTGGCTCAGGTCATGATCCCATGGTTGGGGAGTTCGAGCCCCATATCAGGCTCTGTACTGACAGCATGGAGCCTGCTTGGGATTCTCTCTCTCTCTCCCTCTCTCTGTCCCTCTGTGTGCGTGTGCTCTGTCTCTCTCAAAATAAGCTTTAAAAAAACAGTCAAATAATTGAAAGTAATGGGACTGTGAAGTAAATGAAGAATAGAAGACAATAGGCAGTGGCGGGAAAATTCCTACTTA